GTTTGACTAAATAAAGCGTTCCACCTAAAAACCTCGTGTGGCACAAGATAATAATTATCACAAACATCAGCTATGCCGAGGTTAAAGCAAGAGAGAAATTGGAGACTAATCACAGCCGCTCAGACTATAAAAGTCGGTATCAGATCATTGATTGAAGAATTGGAAGCCATTTGGTAGAATGAATGAACAAGTGTAGAAGGTACCTGCGCTGTGTGCAGGTCCAGACGTGGCTCTGCAGGGGACAGTGTTGCCAATGATAGGTGCTGGTAAGCATGGAAAGGGAGTAGGGCTTGAGGGAGGAACTTAAGATCTCACAGGAAAATGAAGCGATGTAATAGAAAATCGAGAGAACTTGTGGTCCAGACTGTGGCTCGAATAGCTCATGAATAAGGAATGCCATCGTAGACAGGAAAGAAGCCGAGCGGGAATAAACAGGTGCAGTACTGGAGAGAGGTGGCCGATAAAGGGTGATGGACGGTGATGGACATATGAGAAGATACTTGTGGAAGTGCTCTGCTCTGAAGAAGAAAACTGGAGTGGAGCCCTACGGAGAAAGACAGGGAGAGCAACTAAAAACGGACGACAAGAAAAACAATTTCCTAACCTTCAAAGAGTGGTGGCTGCTCAAAATTCCTCTCAGAGACTCTCCTTAGCGAAATATCTAGGAAATGCTTGGATAACTCAAAAACAACTGGACCTGTCTGGGTCAATCGATTCATCATGGGAGGTATACCAGCAGAAACGATTGAAGCGACTGCGGTTGGCACCGAGGCTACCACTTCAGGGTTCTTCTGAAGGTACGGTAATTATATTTTGACATGCAACATGAAGAGCATGAGTAGCTGACCTTCTGCGGCCGTACAGGTCTGATGGCTGGTCGACGATTCACCGGAACATTGAAAGGATGGTTGTCGGCGGATGACCTCACGATGCTTCCAGTTCCTACAGTAGGACGCAAGGGTTCTCCAATGTTAGCTGCCGCCTTGATCACCGTTGAATGGGGATTTTTTGCAGATGGCACACCGACCAACACCGAAGGGGACGTCGCTGAGAGTGACTCTGATGCTGCAATTGCTTATTTTAGTTGTAGTTGATATCTATGGGGTTTCAATGAGACTGACCGGTTTCAAATTGACAACTGGTCCCACAACCGTTGAAACAGCACACAGACTTTTGTGGACAGTCTGACGCACGCCGGCAGGCGACAACGCAGGCGGACGAGTCGACTGCATTTATGGTGAGCGGTATTGGAGGACAGGTAATAGGCGATGGCGGTGGAGCTGAAAAGATAAGATTTTTGGGTCGTTTGTGTTTCATCGCCTCATAAAACACCTACAACACACACCTGATGGATAGCAAAACAACTAGGGACTCCAATCCCATTGCCCGGTACTTACTAGCCCTATCCATTTCTATTAACCTCAACCGACATCAAATGATCGAACATACCATGACCAGGGCAGCAGAAACCTCTCCCTTCGTATCCGTTCTGAGTACAGAAGTAACCGGCAGGACAGGATCGCTGCACATCACATTCGGCCAGATGATCTGCACCCGGTGAAACCAACGGCTCACCCACAGGACAGATATTAGGCAGGCCTAAAAAAGAGAGATTTACATATCGTTCCAGTAGCTTACAAAATACCCACATCTAGCTATGGGCGGGCAGTCTTTCGTGTAACATCGTGGTTGCACCACTCGACAGATGAATCCGGCTTGGCATTGAACCAATTCGCACGGTACAATACAATCGCAGACCGTACAACCGGCATTATCGGTTCGATATCTAAACAACGGCTGTCTCAAATTAAGTCGGTATTTTGTATACACTCCTTACTAATTTCTCTAGAAGGTAAAATTTTGAAAATCGCAGCTTCCAGCCGATCCTAAAAAATCCTCTTATGGGGGACCCATTTTCTAGATTGTTCTGCAGGCTTTTGTATCGTCAAAATAAATATCAGATTGATAAAGCAATTCCAAATGGTGAAGGATTTTTCCAGGAGAGATTGAACATTGGAAATCGGTCATTTACCCACTTTTTACACATTTCGTACCGTATCTCTAGGAAACAAAGTCACTCACCCAAAAGGACAATGTTTGTGACAGGCCCTTACTGGACAAGGTCGCGGCACTTTGCAGTTTACTTGATGGGTTGTTTTTGTGCCTGAAAAGCCAATAGAAGGAATTTAGTGTAGCTTGAACGGCTCCGTGAGCCTCATCTCAGACTTATCAGAGAGAAAGGGAGAGAAAGGACTCACCTGGCATCTCTCGTCCGATTTTGTCTACACACCATTTCAAGCCGTAGTGGGTTTGAATCGGTGTGTAGTCACCATTAGAATCACATTCAGGTACAAATACGCTCGAGTCCGACTCGTAAATCGCCAATGCCGCCAAACGAGCATGAACGCCTGCAACTTACGCGCGTCCACGATGATTTAGAATTTTGATCAGAAGTCTTACAGTGTGTTGTCAGATCGGGAGCAGTACATCGACGGGTGCATCCGTCGCTGCAGCACTTTCGCAGAGCAGAACAGTCGCCGTCTGTCATACATTCAGGATCTTTACCCCTGTAACTACGTACTTCATGCTGGATCCGCTGATTTAAATTGCGGTTGGGATTGTGAATGGTATCGCGTGCCAAGAACAAGTCAGCCTATTACAGAAATGGAGAATACAGAGCTTTTCTCGATTCATTAGCCAAATGGAAACTAAAAAAGTAGGACGTGCAGCTGCATTGTTGCATTGATTATTTTATAGGGCACTTCATCACTAGATATCAAAATAACAAGCTATGGATGCAGGTAGTAGACTGTTGAAGAACGTACATGACAGTCCAATAATTTTGATAAGAATGGTTTTTTCCTATTTTATCTCCTTTTACTGGCTATTTTTCGATTTTGAGCTTTTCCTCCGGCAATGGATGGGAGAACATCTGAGATAAACTTTCACAAAGACAACCGACCTCTGAACACAAAAAGCACCAAGAGGCTTCGTCTCCAGACATTCTCCGATGTGGATCACTTGAGGTGGTGGAGCAGAGAAAACTGAAAATTTCAATGGATAAAAGTGATCAGAAGAAATATTCAGGCAAAGCCGCAAGAATGAATATGCGGACAATCGCCGAAATTAAAATAAAAAGAATCAGGACCAGACAGTTTCTCAATTTCCAGGGTAACTCCAGTAAACTATCAATTATGACAGTTACAATTATGACAATTACAAAATCCTCCCGAAGCCCTCTAGAATTATGTCGGCATTTTTAGAGGGCTTCGGGAGGATTTTGTAGCTTAGGGTGCCTCCCCTATCCCATGTTCAGCCTTTTTTAGTTATTGACAGCGTTTCGGTTTTTCTTTCGGATTACCAGGGTGGATGTCTGTCGAATACTTGTCACTTTCGACTTTACAGTAGTTCCCATTTATCTCGGAGGCTTAAGCAAAAGCTTCGAATATATTCTTTTTTTTGATGGTTTTTTGGAAAATGTGAAAATGTACGAATGAATAAATAAGTAATCAAAGAAGCAGGTTAAAAGACAAATAAATGAGTAAATAAATAAAGAGAAATTGAACAGTATGCGAGAAAAAAAAGGATTAAATAATATGTAATAAATAATATTAAAGGTAAATAAGATTTTGCACCTATTTCCCTTCTATCGCTATCATCTTGTACTACCTTCTATTACAGTTATTTTAAAAATTTGGTAATCTGACTACAGCCCATGTTCAACACAGTTGACTCACTCACCAGCAGCTACACACGAGAGTCCGCATCCATTGAAGCAGCATTTTTGGCTCGATGGACACTGTTCGTCAATAAGGCAATGTCGAGAGCAATCTCCATTTGAGGCGATTGTCGGAGGGCATGTCCCGGGTGACCATCGAGGTTCTGTCGAATATTCGTTAAAAAATATGGGGACCCTCCGATTGAGTGTAGTTATCGGTTTGGCTAGGGGTGCTGACTACATCCCAACACCTCAAGCGCTTAACAACGACACACTACTTCCGTATGGGTCCCCACCCTCCTCTTTTCCGTAACCTGACCCGCTGCGCCCTTACGCTACCTGCTCACAGTCTTTACTTGCGCACGAGTAAAATGTCACGACGACTCGATGAAAATACTCGTATGTGCTGAATATGCCGAGAAAACCATGTCTTTAGGTATATCCATGCAATCAAATGCAAAGATGCTCTCAAAGATGAGTATTCATCAAAAGAGTTCGTTCCGAACAGTGAGCAGCAAGAATTGGTCTGGAAGGCGGATGTGCTGGCCACTCAAATCATAAGCTCTGAAATCTGAGTTAAGGTGGTAACGAAGAGCAGAATTACTCACGCGTAGGTTCTTAACTCCCGTCACTTGGACCCACTCTAGATTTTTCCTTTTCTACAGTTCAACAGAATTTTACGTATATATATAACTTCAGAAAGGCTGTGCTGATGCCTTACCTCGTCCAGGACAGCAGACTCCAGTGTCACTTCTGTACTGACTGCAGTACCATGAGCCCGCAGACCCTGAAATAAATCTAGAACTTTTCGAGATTTCTTCAGTAGTGATGATCCAGTAACCATGGCTCTACCGCGATTTGCGCATTATTTGGTCGATTTGAGGCAAACGTTCTAGAACTGATTTCGAACAAGGTCTTCTGGCGCTGACACAGAGATACGTCAAGGTAAATTCGTTCGCCAGTTCAAATACCATGGCCCAACGAAAATTATCACAATATTGTATTTTACCTAACGGTAGCTATTCCTTTGGTAGCTAATCCTTCGGTAGCAGAGTATAAACAGATCTTGAACCCACCGACGCAATCGCTGTTATCATTGCATTTGATTGGTTGTGCTGTGGATTGATCTAGCCGTGGTGAACCGATCAAGCATGGATTGACCACACATCTGGGTACCTTAACGGCAAAGTGCTAAACTTGACAAATAAATTAAAGGCTGAGAAGTGTCTCTGGAGTCTAACAACCTAGTCCTAGGAGGTTATAAGATGCTAGGGTAATCAAAAAACTAGCGATTTTCTCAACTTTTCAAAACTACCTCTGGACATGGTCCTGAAACGCATTCTACAGGCATCGGAACGCAGATAGAGGTATCAGGACACACAACGCCCTGAAACATGAGATTATAATGTCAGTTGTTGTAGAATTAAACGTACGATCACATGCGTTTAGAAAAGGAAGGCCTAAATCGGAGGGATATGGCCGCTCACATCACATGGACTGCTGCATTCACAAGTGTCACAACCATTCGAATCCTTTTTCAAGCCATACTTGCACAGGATCTTGTTGGTGCACAGGGGTACGAAGCATTTGCGAGGTGCTGAAAAAGAAGGACAACATTCTTGAAAGACTCGCACTTACGGTCCTGGGACATGCTTTAACGGCGCTTGCTCCACCTATTGCTATGAATTTCAATCGCTGTTTCCAGACGAAACGGAAAAATAAGTCTGTAGAAGGAGCGACAGAAAGCGACATCAAGCGACAAATTGCGGCATGACCGCGGTCTTGTTAGGAGTAATTGCAGCTATTTCATTTAGTGTTTGATACTGGGTTTCCTACCATTAGTGCGCCACGTAGGTGCACACTTAGTATGAGGAAAAGCCGCGTCAAAAGATCAGCTATAGGTGATCTAAATGGAAGGTAAGTCTAACGAAAGAGGAAATAGCCGCTGTTTTCTTCACTGCGTTGGACTAAAGGAAAATTTGTTTTTTTTTTTTTGCTTCAAATTCTCGAGCTACAAGTTCACGGTTTTCATTAGTCCCCACTTCATTTACAACTTTTAATGTTAGGAAAACTTTCAAGCATGAGCGAGTAAAGGATAAAAGGGTGAAAATTGTAGTGCGGATTCATGAATCATCAGTGAAATCCGAGGGAAGAAGAAACACCAGATAGAGATGCTATTTTTATGACAGATTTTAGCCTGACGAGCGATGGGCCTCAACGGCTCCTCGAAATAGCTTAGTTAGACCTTAACCTTCTAAGACAGTTGGGTAATGAGATCAAGGCCACCAGTATACGCCCTTCACCGCTTTTAGATGTACCTGTGTAATAGCAGACATAGCCAAGTAGGGTGGGCTGTCATGAAAAAATCGTAAGCGACAGAGAGCGACTACCAGAGGACTATTAAAGAAGATAGCAATCGAGCCGGAAAAAAGGTGAAAATTTCAAGGAAAAACAACTCTGAAGAATGGCGCGACCGTTCAGCTGAGAAAATCCTTGAATGCAATTCTGCCTCGTTATTTATTCACTCTATTTGTTCACCAATTTTTTCTCATTGACTCCCTATGCACTCAAAAATGTCCCCTTATCAGTGGGTGATACAAATTAATTTCAACAGAGATCTTACTTACTTTTACAGTTTGGCGGAATATTCTCGGACGAACGTGTTCCTTCCACTTCGACACCGAGATCATTCACACACCAACAAAACTCTGAGTCACATTGAACTTCTTCGAAGGAGCCGTCTGAAACATGACTTTTTCTTGAGAAGCCTCCAATTAAAAAATCTCCAGAAGCTTTGAGAGCATACCAAAGAATTTTATAAAACAAATGATCCAAGTTCATACCTGGCCGACACTGAATCCTCTCCGATTGTCCAATCATTTGCAGAGCAGATTTAGCCTGCACACAGGCACTACCATTTTCTGGGTAGAGGCATTTCTTGCTACAGCCGTCGGAACAGCATTTCTGCACACCGACACATTCGTCATCAGAAGTACACTGGTCTGCTCGGCTGAACAGGCAACCTCAGACCTCACGTGAATTATTCCCACAGCACTAAGTTCTTACGACGGATTTTCGCATGATCGTTCGTCATAGTACGGGCACTGTCCAGGTTTGATCAACTCCGGCTTCGTCAGCTCACCACTTTCAAATACGTCTGATGTCATAGCTGTAAGACTACTGAAGATAAAGGTGAAAAACAATCTGGTTTTTCACTCTCATCACCGTAAGTTACTGATTTCGATGGAAATGGGACAGTTGCTAGAGGTGTTATATTTTTTGTGCTGTCGGCAGAATGAGATCCCTTCGCAGGTTTTCCATCCCCAGCAGTGATCGAGAAAGACTTCAATCAATGCACATGAGCATCAATAAGATGGACCGCATGAGATTTCTACTTTCGATCAGGAAAGGAGCGTAAGACAATGTTAAGGAGTGCCGGTCCTGAAGAGCCAGACGACTCTTGTAACAAGGATTTTCCTCAGGCCCAGAAAATATCGGAATGATCGGACTGCACTCATCAAAAAGGGATGTAGAGTTTGCTGACGATGGGGACGACAAGTCTGAGTGTCATGCTGACTTCAGCAATGCCTCTCGCCATGACGCTCAGTGTGGATTCAGAAAAAAAAAATGATGGAGCTTCTGAATACCTTTACAATGCAGTCCGCAACCATCATAACAGCACTTCTCTGTGTTCTGGCAGTCTCCGTCGGAACGGCAGCTGAATCCGCACACAGTAAGATTGTGTAAAAGCGGTGCAGTTGGTGGGCACCTGCCTGCATGGACAGCTCTGGCTGGCAATGCACAACACAGACCGGTCGAGGAAAACCCTACCTGAAGCAAAGTTCGTAGAATCTTACTGCTTTGATATGAAACTAAATGAGCGTTGCACTATGTTCTTAGACTAACTGATCCAAAAAAAAATCTGTACCGTGACGTGGTCAATAAAATTTCAAAAAGCAGCCTTGATTGCACGTCAGAGGGAGGTAAAAATGAAGTCATGGGAGCCGGCAGAGTCACTTATACTCAATACTGCCATACCATGAAGTAAAATTCTCACCTGATGACACCAATGCCTGGGAGGACACTGATCGTTAGAGTTACAGGTTTCCACGACGCCCACTTGTGAAATGAACGGTTCACCCCGTGGGCAGAGGTTCAAAACACCTGAAACTTCTATTACGTCATTTAATGCTTTTTGTATACTATTGCAGAATAATCTGAAAAATTCAGATGAGGAGGCAGGAGGTGTGGCTTTGGGTCAGGCAATGTAACTCCCAAGTTTGACGTTCCCGACACACGATACATGCACCAAATTCGCCCTGTGCAAGGCTTATTTCAATGAACGTCTATCTTTCCTCTATCGATTTCTTTCTCCTATCTAAGCGCTAGAGATAATTATGCGCTTTTCCTTTTTCGACGTTTTCCAGTCTATTTCTGAGTCGGAGGTCTGGCGGTTATGCCACACCTCTATTAAAAGTATCCCCATTCTTACTGGTTAACAGCAAACAATCCTTAATCCTGTTAAGCTCGATCCTGAGAATCTACACGAAAGTGCAGCGTTCTTCATACCTAGGTCTCAGTACCGCATATAGGAAGAGCGAATTTAGTTGTAAAGTCCCCCAGGAAGTACATCATGAGGTGGGTAGTCAGTGGTAATCCATTCTCTGGCGCTAGAGTTGGACTGACTGTGTTACTGTTCAGAATCGTAGTGGCGTATTGAATGAGTACGTGGTGTACACAATAAATTGCGGTGGTCAGCGGACGTTCATGTTCTGGTACTAATCAACCAACCCGGGAGAAATGGAAGGTTTGGTGATGGTTTACCAGTTAACATGCGCGCGTGAAAGTGCGCCACTTGTCACTATGCCACCTCTGCCCATCTACTCAGTATGTACTAAAAACTTCGACCTACACCGTGGTTGTGGAGGACAATTTTCCGACTGGAAACAATTGACTGCGGTCATGATGCAATAACTGCCCTGATGACATTTGACCTGAAAAATGAGGATACTATACATAAATGTCGGAACCTCAAATTACATTGCCCATCGACGTTCGCTTACCGGTGCGCATGGGTTTTTACAGCGGCACGAACGACATCCATTTGCGTCCCTTTCGAACTCGTACGGGCAAGATGTTCTGCAGACCACGTCAGGACACTTGTGACTACCTGAAGTGAAAGTACACAAAGGAGTAAGTATCGGATCATAGTCTGTATAGGTTTTCGAAGTTTGTCCGTAAAGAATTTGCCTAAAATTTCTTACCTAAGCCGTGTGCGTTGTACTTGGAATTCAATGAACAAAGCTTTTGGTAATCCCCTAACACGAGAAAGAAGTAAGAATTGTAACAACAACAATAATAATAAAAATGACACAAGTACATGGTCAATGCCACCAATTCCAATTCTATAGCGCGCCGATCAAGCTCTTGAGAAGTCGAATTTCTAGATTGAGAAACTGATGGTAACACCGCAAATTCCCCAATTCGTCAGTAGTTTCTTTTGCGCAGCGAGCAAAATGGTTAACCCACGCTTTTCGACATCATGGATAGGAATTATAACTTAATGATTACCCTGATTCACTATTTGAATTTTAAGGGCACAGACCACGATTCTTCAAGTTTATCCCTAGGATCCTCAAACATAGCACAAGTGACACTGTCAGGTCAAAAAACAGGCTAGATACGATGTAATAAAGGCCTCAAAGCCGGCTTCACCAACTTGCACACCCAAATACGGACGAGTTCACGGCGCTGAAGAGGCTGTAAAGGCTGCATCTTTCGTACCGGTGCGAGCATGTTTCACGCAAGCAACTTGCTGTAGCTAGCTGAACACAAATGGCACACACATTTAGACAACTCGTTCACACTATCACGCAACTTTGTCTTTACACTCTTGTCCAGCCCATAATTTCATTAATTAATCGAAGTCTTATACAGAATACGCCGATTCGAGCGTTTTCTTCTGTATTTTACTGGGCTAGAAGTTCTACTATTCGTCTTAATCTAGATAACCCAAGATTATCGTGAACTACGCCTTCAAACATTCTTACACACACCCATACAGTACCACGATGGCTCGATGATTTGCCCTAGCCTCAATCATTTTGAGATGCATAAGTAAGTAAAGTTTCAACTCGTCCGACCTTCACAATTCGGCACGCTGTCGGTTGTTCGCGTTCCCGATATCTCATCCCCACTGTCGATATCCACACAGAAGCAGCCATCGTCGCTGCACTGAATTTACAAGTAACCGTGACCTCTCAAAGAAAGTCTCTAGAAAAAAATTCAAGTTCCACCTGCACCCGTTCAAAACGTCCTTCACGATCACAACGATATATCTTACGTAACCCGTAGAGTTCAGCTGTGAGCGCCATTTGAAGACAGGCTAAAAATGGAATTTCGACATAAATTGAACAGAAACCAGATGTTTCATTTCATTTGAAACGATAAATGGAGGCGATTCTCAAATTTCCGTCGATCGCGTTATGTAGAATTCAGATATCATTCCAGATTTCTTCAGCGAGATTGCATAGCGATAAATTGCGTATGGTTCGCTTTTACTTTATGTACACATATACCCAATATATGTAGGTAGCGTTTATGGACGGAGATGGTGAAGTGGGACGTGGGCACTATTATACAAGCATGATCAAGGAATTCCCTTTGAGGTCGGTTAATTGGCAGAAGACCCGTCCGGGAGGATAAAAGCACTGACTTGTACATCAACTGGCCACCGCAAGTCACCATATAGGCTACATACGCTTTCAATACTACGTTTAGAGTGGGAGTCGAATGTGAAGGGCGCATTCCTCAGGCGGGCGTACCGTACGGAACACGACTCTGGTCGGAACCAAGCACCTCAATGGCTGCTTTCATAGTCCGCCGGCGTGCCGGCGTGCCGGCGGAGGCAGTGCTAGG